GCGGGCGGGCACCCCGCGTTCAGCACCTCCGCGTGCCTCTCTGTGGTGAGCCCCTCCGCGCCGAGGGCGGCTCTCGAGTCGGCCGGGCACGTCGCCCTGCCTTTTGCGGGAATGTCCCTTCACCGGTTCTTCGTGCTGTATCGCGACATGCCGGTAGACGGTGTCTTGCCGCTCTTCGCATCTGGACGGAAGCTCGGCCGGGGCTTCAGCCCCAAGGCTCGCGACAAGGCTCCATCCTACCGACTCTGCTGCTTCGTTTGTGTTGTGCAGTAGGAAGTGCCGGTTATCCTGCGGTACGGCTTTTTGCGGTGAATGTCATCAGCTATGAGCGTAATAATTCTTTAATGAATTAAACGTTCTGTAAGGTTAGACAGGAGGGGTTTTTTCTCCTGTAGACGAGGGAGAACTTGTGTTGTATAGAGGCTGACTCTGAGTTCAGAGAGCTGTGGGAATTGCCAGTGAAAGATCTTTTTCTTAGAATCAGATGTCTCTTTCTTCTATTTCTCTCTCTTTTTTTTTTCATTTTTTTGTAATTAATAGAGCTCCTAATGTTTTAGGTTTTGTACATGCTTACATAAAATTTGGCCAAAACAAGGTCAGCTGTTGCTGTGGGTGCCTGCCGTGCTCTGAAACCATCACAATTCTCAGTACAAGCATCTGTTTCTCACTTTTTTCTTAATCCTAAGAAAATCCAGACACATTCAAAACAGAAGGTACTTGTTGTTTTATCCACCTTTAAGTAAATATTAGATGGTCTGAACTGCTGACATTCAGCTGACCTGGATCCCCTGTTTGTAATAGGGGAGTAGAAATAGATACAATGAATAGAAATAGAAAATACGTATTGTGTTGTCAAATCACGTTATGCTTTTTAACTTAAAACCCTTGAGTTCCAAATCTACCTGGTAACTTCTCAACTTCAAGAATATCTACTATATTGTCTCAGAATCTTCGAGCTACTGAGGTTCATATTTGTTCCCATTTTTCCCTTTTATCTTCTCCAGGCCTCAATCCTACAAAGTCTGCTCTCCATGATCATCTCTGTACCCTGGGTAAGACTGTTAATTTCATTATCTCGCTAAGTATTAGCCATATCCTGATATGCTGTCCCCCCCCTCCAAAAAAAGCTAGTTTTAAAGATGTTTGCAGAACTGTGGAAGTTGACAAAGTGAATTTTGCAGAAGACAGCTTCTGGAACTACTGCAAAATTTCTTTTTAATTCCTCCTGTAGTTACTGTATCTAACTGCTTCTGGCTACTAAAGAATTTGTAAAGACAGAAAAACTCAGAAAATACAAAGAAGTAGTACTGGCTAATGATGCTCAGCTTGGTAAGTGAATGCTATTAGTATCAGTAAGTTTTGATACTGACTTAAGTTTTGAAGTTTCCTTTTGCAAGACAAGTTCTAAAGAAGGAGAAGCACAGAAATAAATCCCTCACCTTTTTCCCTGCCTTGTACCCTGTTTTACATACAGCAGGCATGTATAATTCCCAAAGCATGGAAGAGCACATCTAAATGTAATTTGTCAGCACGGTTTCATATCTGTTTTAAATTTTTTTGACAGCTGCAGATAATGTATTATTTCGGAAAAGAGGTAATAATTTCATTAGTTTTGCATTTCAGATTTGATGTGGTTTTACATCAAATGTATCTGTGAGAATCTGAAATAGAATGCAGCAATACAAAATGCAGAAGGCTTTTACTGTAAAATGAGACTTTCAAGTCATGGTTTAAATGAGGAATTCGTGCTGACTCCACAAGTTTCTCTGGAGTGTTCCATTAGGGACAGACATTTTAAAATAATTCCCCCAGTCCAGTTCATTTAAGACAGACTGAATGCCAGACCATCTGTCCTGGAGCAAATGAAAGGCTGAGAAAACAGTTGAACAAGGCAGGAAGATAGATGTGATGATTTCTTGAGCTTTCTCCAGACCTGTTTTCTGCCCTCTTTGGATCCCTTCTTCTCGTACGAGGGCAGGTTTTGTTGTCTTCAGGCCTGCAGCTTTACATTTTTCATCCTGCCAGGGTTACTTCCTCTGAACACAGAGTTGCACTGCTTGGCACTTTCTTGGGCAAATGCAAACCATTCACAGGACTGTGGTGCGCCCTCCCTTTAACAGGGAAACAGCAACTTCTTTGCAGCTTATCAAAGTGTTGATTGTTCGTGTCCTCCCTATCTTTCATTCTTGACAAAGGTGACTTTGGCTCCCAGTGGAGAGACTTCTCAGGTGGAGGCTCAGTTCTACACAGTGCCTCTCTTACATGCAAGACAGAAAAGGCCTTTACATGCCTCTTGCAGGTTGGCTTCCAGCATCAGAGGAAGACATTTACAGTATTTTGGCTGGACTGCTCATCTTCAAGACTTCACTTTGTTCTTCACAAGTTCTTGGGATATGAAGCCAATTGGAAAAGTGCTTTGTGCTACAGGGATCATAGCTGGGCTCCTAGCTTTCTTCTGGAAAGACACTTTTAACCCAGGTAGGTTCACCAGGGGGGTCATTCCAAACTGGAATATAAGTCACGCAAGAGAAGAGGTTGAATTTGCAAACTCTAACTGGTGGTCTCATTCATGCCCATAGTCTTACCAGAGTTGGTGGTCATAAAGCAATGCTTCATTCCCAGAAATAAAGAGAAGCTTGAAACAAAGAGGAAGACAAAATGGTCTAACAGCATTTACAAGGGATCCTGCTGTCTATGTGGCAAAAAAATGACATGTACTTTGCCACTGACTTTCTCTTTTTTTGTTTTGATTGCAAACTGCTTGGGGTCAAGAACCATCTCTGTAGATGTGCAGTGCCCAGCACAAGAGGGCTGACATGTCTCCAAACTGATGGCAAAGAATAAATGATATGCAGAAGGCCCAGAGCCTGGTTTATGTTGTACAGCTTTTTATAATGTGAAAATCAACTTCATCCTTGAAAGATACTGGTCTAGGAACACAGGCAAAAGGCGTGTGACACAGCTAACTTGCATAATCGTATCGTTGTTCCCTGGCAGTGATAGCCTAGGCATAACGTCCACAACAAACACGCAGTAATAAAACAATGCACCTCTTGGGCAGCTGGGCCTGGGGGTTGTTCCATGGCAGCTGAGCCATGCCAGCTGCCTGATTTTATCCATTATCCAACTTCATGGAAGAATGCTGAGCTGGGGAGGAGGGATGGGAATGGTGAAGCAAGGCTTGGCTGTTTGGTTTCTAGCATGCCAGCTGCTGTCTTGAGTGAAGTGGGTCAGACTGAGCCTCCTGCTCCATGACTGAAGTATGAACCTGGGTGTTGTCAGGATGGAGGAGGGAACTGGCTGTTGCATGTTAGGCCAAGCTGACTGCCTTGTGCTGGAGCTTGTTGAGCTAGCCAAGCTTTCCTGCGACCCAGGCCAAAACAGATCAATATGGCTGGCTACTTGACACGAGGTGGCTGATGACTAACCTTTTTGTTGTAGGCACCTGTCAGAAGGGGAAAATAACTCATTGTTCAAAGATTTGGTGATTTTTTTATTATTTTCAGTCTAGCAAGAATTGGAAGGCATTGTTAATCTCATGGCTTCTTCAGGTCAGTCCTGCCTCTTCTAGGTTTGGAGAAGCATCAAGACTTTTGGGCACTTCCACTGGGCACTTCCACGCACGTTTCTACTTTAGAGCTCTGCCATTAGTTAAGGGCAGCTCCTCTGCTGCTTCCTTCACTTACTTCTGTATCTTTTATTCTCTTTCCCAAAAATAAGAGAGCTTGTCAGGTGCCCGTGTTCTCCTGACTGGAGCCAGTGCTGGGATTGGAGAGCAGATGGCATATCATTATGCCAGATTTGGTGCTGAAATTGTTTTGACTGCAAGGAGGGAAGCTGTGCTGCAGAAGGTAGGAACTTCCTTGTATGAGGGAAGACATAAGAGATTTGGACTCTTACCAAAAAAAACAACAGCAACAATTTAGCTGTTGTTAAGTTAGCATGCAGTTAGCTTGTTAAGTTAGCCAACAGCATGATAAATTTTCCTTCAGAACTGTTGTTGAGCAGAAACAGCTTAGTTACTTTTGAAATTCTTTCCACTTGTGTAGAGAGATGGAACGTGTCAGTGACATGTTTTGAGCCTGATTTGCTGGCAGTGTCCTGTGCCATTCTTCTCTGTAACTGATCTCCCGGATGGGCTACTTTGTGTTGCCATACACCAGTGCCTGCTGCAATATGCCTGGTTTTTCTTACCAGAAGGCAGTAACCACTGCATACTGAGGAGGTGTAACCCAGAAGGGAGCTTGGCCTGTACAGCAGGATGCATATACACTGCCTGAACTTTTTACTACCTGAACATTTACACAAGGAAATTGTATGAAGCTGTGTCAGGGAAAGTTCAGATTGGACATTAGGATAACATTCTTATGTTCTTATGTTATTCTTATGAGGGTGGTCAGTCACTGGAACAGGCTCCCCAGGGAGTAGTGGTCACAGCACCAAGCCTGTTCATGGAGTGTCTGGACAATGCTCTTAGTCATATGGTTTTAGCTTTAGGTAGTCCTGCAAGGAGCAGGTAGTTGGACTTGATGATCCTTATGGGTCCCTTCCAACTTGAGAGATTCTATGATTCTATGAACTACAATGCCTGTGCGATATTGTGCAGCTTTTCAGAGTCCAAACAGTTCTATTTGTAGCTGTTTTGTTAAAGACTCAAACCTTTTTGTAGGTTAAATAATTTTTGACCAGCTTGAATAGATGAGACTGCTTTATCTGTAGTTTATAAAAATGGGACAATATTTAGAGAAGGCATCTCTTAAACTGTGGGGACAGGTGACTTACAAGGAAAGTTCTTCACCATGAAATGGCGCAAAAGGAGAGTTGAGGACAGTGAGCATAAGAATAGTTCCTAATGTCTGGAAGGCGTTATTTCAGCAAATAGCTAAACTGTGTATCATTACTGGGGACCTTCACATACTCAACATAGCAAAGGAACTATGAAAGATGAATACTGCTAGAGCCTTACCAAGTATTTTGGAACAAAAAGAAGAACTTAATATAAAGCATAAGCCTTATTCCAGAAGAGTTCTTCTGAATAAGACTGTCTTTTTCAGGTGAATCTTGATCCCTTTCCAAGGTCAACTGAATCTGCATACTGCTAGGAGTTACCTCTATTTAAGTGTCTGGTTAAACAAAGTCTGGATGCAAAATGAGCTCTCCGTGGGCTGAATAGCAGTAGACTTAAAGTGTGTCTCTGTCCAGAATTGACTGTCACTGATAGTAGTATGGGGAAAAAACAGTGCCTTACAGTGCACTAATTTCTATTCTTTCCCCCCGCCACTCCATATTGTTTAATCTTTGGGTGTGTGTTATTCTTCAAGGTGGTGGAGAAATGCCTGACGCTTGGAGCAAAGAAAATATTTTATATCCCTGCAGATATGTCTTCCCCTTCAGAGCCTGAAAAGGTGGTTCAGTTTGCTGTCCAAAAGCTGGGTAAGCATCATGGGCATCTCTTTGGCCTTCAGGTATATAGGCATATATAGTTCTCATTCCAGTAGGAGCTTCCTGCTTCAGTTTCCCCATGTTCCTCACCGAGGGGGATGTTTAGGACAGGAGGGTGTGCAGTTTGTAAATACCAATGTGGATGTGGCCATCTTTTTAGCTGCCTTTCATGGGGAGGGCATGTCTTTTGCTAGAGGAGAAAAGTATGCAGAAAGTACTTGCTCATAGTACTTCACTAAAGCCACACCCCATAGCAACAGCTGCAGTACCTCACCTGTCACAGGGTACTACACGTATACACATTTGCCATATGTGAGCAGGTACCAGCTGCACACACCCAACCCTGAACATAGTGCCTTGTGTTGAGAGAGGCAGAAACTGGGAGGTCTGAAAGCAGTGACCTGCCCCTGTAGCAAAGCTCAGTCCAAGACTGTATAGAAGGGGCAGGTGGTCTTATTTTAATCAGAACTGATTCACACTACTCCCACTCTCATGCATTCGCATTCACTCATTCTTTAGTACTCACAGGCAACAAAATGTGTATCGCCAAGTACCTTGACCAAGATTACTTGTGATACAAAGGACAAGGGATGCCCACTGTTGAGTCCTCATCGTGTCTTCTGGGTTCTTGGTGACCATGTGCTGCTTTTTGATTGTCTTTTGTGCCCTGTAGGAGTTAAGTGATTATGATCTTTTGTCTCTCCGTCGTGCCTCATTTGGGTCAGACTGTCATTAGGCAGCATTTTCTATTATACTCACTATCCTTTTGTCCATTATTTGAGTTTCTTAATTACTTCATTATGGTCTTGGTTTTCCTCATGTGGGTGTCTTAAGAAACTGTGTGTAAGTGTGCTGTGACCTGGATGACCTGCCAGTCCAGCAGCCATCGATTCATACCTTTCTTTTAAACCTTCTGCTGTTCCTGCTGATACATTCCCATACCAATCATAATTTTTCTGCTACAAATTTGTATACTTATAACTTCGAAAACAGAGTGTACCACCAGAACTAAGTTCCAAGTCTGCACTACCTTGGAACATCATTTCAGAGAGCTGCCATCAAAGAAGAACAGCTTTCCTTCCAATTCTACCCTTGAGGAGCAAGCAAAGCTGCTCCCAAATGGACGTATTTCATGTATCTTCATGGTAAAGCACTTTCTAGCCTTCTGAGGGAGCGGTTCAGCCCTCCTGCTGGCATTTCCGAGTTCAATCATTTGTTACTGGTTAGAGGATGGCCCCTTTGTTTGACTGCTTTTTCTCCTGCCCACAGGGGGATTGGATTACCTGGTGTTGAATCACATTGGTGTGACCCATTTCCAGATGTGGGCTGGAGATGTGGAATACACCCGCTGGCTCATGCAGGTGAGGTTTCCCAGCAGGAAGAGCTCATCTGGAATTGGGTGAGTCTGGCTTCTCCTGGGACAGCTTTGGGAAGCTCAAAAGCAAATTCAAGTCTATGGCAATGGTTGAGAACAAACCTTTTATTTCATTCATGTTTCAAGTCAAATGGTTTGGAGGCTTTGTTACTAGACAGGTGTTTTGCTCAGTTGTTGTATATGTGTGCAGACGAATGTCTGGGAAGAACTTCACTTCTCTCTTTCCTTCTGTCCTTCTTATCTCCTGTTAGTCCAGGACTGCTAGGGATTGATGGGTAGTTACAGGCAGTTGTGCAATGTATGTCTAGTTTAAGAAGGCCAGTAGGTGAGGAGCAAGCACTTCCTACTCATCTATAGCAAGTACATGTGTCATTGCAGAACACAATAAGGTTGTTTGAAATGGTGTTTGCCATTTGAGTCTCTGCTCACAGATTCAGAGTTTTCCTGTAGAATCACCTTGGTACCAGGTTTCAGGACCATGGAGGAGATAAGCTGTGTTCTTGATTCAGTCTTCTTAGGTCAGGTGGGTGATATTAGTTCTATTTCATGTTGGAAGGAGCGGAGAGTAGGGAACTTGGGATCACAGGTAAGAAATTTCCTACAAGTTAGAGAGCAGTCAAGCTCAGAAGAGATGCTGAATGTTACACTTCGTTGTAGTCTGAGCTCAGTCAAGAGGAACTTAAAAGAGGAACATGATTGTCCCTTGTCAAGAAATCTGTATGTTAAAGCTCAGCAATAACCTTTGCTCTGACTCTCCTCCATTGGTTTTTCTGGAATCTGAAAGAGTGATGGATGCAATGTTTGTCCCCATCTTTGCAGAGATTATTCTTTTTTCTTGATGTTTGAAAAAGCAAATCCAAGCCATGCTCCTTTCCATTTCTGACCACTGTATTGGCTTTTTGGCTCATGCTGACCTTCTCTCCAAACCCTCTTGCTTCTTCCATGTCTACTTCTATCATTCCAGGTGAATTTCTTCAGTTATGTGGCACTCGCAACAGCAGCTCTTCCCACCCTGGAGAAGAATAAAGGTTCTCTGGTGGTTGTTTCTTCCCTCACAGGTTAGTGTCTTTAACTGGCATAAGTGCGGGCCTTGTGGAAACAATGGTTCCCAGCACATCTTGTTTGTCTGTGTACTTCAACCTCTCAACACATTTTCAAGCTGTGCGTTTTATAGTAGCAAGCAGGACCATGGCTGGCTAGCCTTCTTGTTTTCTGGAAGACCTTCTCTGTGTTGCACCATTTTGCATTCCCTTGGAACTTTGCTCTTCACTCACCGTGTGCCCAGATCTGCTTGTTTGGCTCATGTCCCTCACAGCCAGGCCCATCTCTCCTGCATTTCTGACTCAGCATTGAGACCATCCTGCCACTCTAAGGCCTTCTGGCTTTGGCCAGCCTGAATAGCAGGCTGCTGAGTAGTTGCAATTACTGTACAGGATGGAAAGGCAGGAGAAAGTCTTCAGCATGTACTCAAGGGAGCTGCATCACCATACACAAGTTCAGACTACAGTTCATCCCTGTCTTGTAACGTAACGTGCCTTGCTGTCAGGGAAATGTCATGGCCAGATGCACCAGCATGTGATCCAGTCTGTATGTTTGCATGTGATGGGGGAGGGGAAGGCTGCAGGTAGACCATGACAGTGGGCTTTTTAGGCCAGTATGTGACCTGGTTACTGTGTAAGTCAAAAGAAATTTCCTCCCCTTATCCACATATGTGGTGGCTCTTGTGCTGGGATGTGTTCACACAAAGTGGTAGAATTTTCTAAGTGCCCGCATGTGACTAGAAATAGAGGGAAACTCATCTGAACATAACATGGGTTGATGCAGGATGGCAAAGTCTCTGTCTTTGCCCAGATTCCTGCTCCATGTCACCATCCTCCTTACAGCCACTTTCCTGGTGTTTTTCATTGTCTCCTTTTCCTTTCCAGGGAAAATACCCACTCCCTTCACCACTTCTTATTCTGCCACCAAGTTTGCACTGGATGGTTTCTTCAGCTCACTGCGCCATGAACTCATCATGCAGAACAGAAATGTCTCTGTCACACTGTGCATCCTGGGCCTGATTGATACTGATACAGCATTAGAGAATACCAGGTGTGTATTTGGAGGAGGATGTAGGAGTCTGGGAGGGAGTGTGTCTGCAGGAACATGTCTCTTCTTGAAAGCATGCAAAAAATGCACAACTGTGTTTAAGATGGTGTGCACATCTGTTTGGATGTGCAAGAAGACTAATGGGAAGAGTGTATCGGCTTGGGTACATCACGGGGGTTGTGCATGTACACCTCAGCATAGAACATGAGCGTGCAGAAACCTGTGGTAGTTGGTCTGCACAGTTAAAACCACACCAAGGATTGACTGGCTCCTCTGACTCTTTCTTTCCAGGGGCAAAGTGCACCTAACTGCTTCTCCTGCTCCTGAAGCTGCACTCGCCATCATCCGGGGGGGTGCCACACGGGTGCAGGAGGTTTTCTACCCATGGTGGCTGCAGCATATGTGTTGCCTCTGGGTTTTGTTCCCCAATGACCGGGACCAGGTTTTACGGAGTTACTATAACTACAGCAGTCCTTAAGGGACACCCAGTCTCAGTCTTCTCTCCCACCCTACATCCCTTCTAATCACATTGCCCCATCCCACCAAGCATCCCATTCAACCGTTGGTGTCAAGCAGGAGCAGGACAGCAGTGGTGGCAAAGTAACCTTAGGTCTTTTAACAAGACTCGTCTTGGTCTCCCTCTCATCCTGCTTCAGCCACAGTTCTGATATTTCTACCCATCAGTCACTGTGTCTTAACCTTCCGCCCATCTCCCCTCCTTCAGCCTCACATGTCTGCTTTTATTGCCTCCAGTCTTCGCTCAGCTCCAGCTTTAACCTCTGTCTGTACAGGATGTCCCGGAATGTCTGTACATTCCTGGGACATCCTGCTCCACTGCTTCATTGTTTTGTGTATTCTGTGAACCTTCTTGCTTCCTATGAATAGAATTTTAATCTCTGTTTTAATAAAACTATTTTGGTTTATGTGTTGCTGTTACCTGTTGATGCTTCCTCTGTGAAGGAAGGCTGGTGACCTGGCTTCTGTGCGCACAGGCCTGTTGGTAGACATTTGCTGACTGCACTGGACCTGTTATATCAGCTCTTCCTTTGCTGTAAATGTCAAGATGGGTTGATGATTCCTGCACTGAACAGGAGAAAGAATGTAGAGGGCATTTTTCCCCAACACATTATTCCTATGGATATGTGTCATGGCTTGTAAGTTCTAGCAGCTAAGAAAAAGCAGTGTCTGCTTGCATACTCCTGGGCTGGGGATGGATAAAAGATCCTATGTGGGCTCTTTGGTGTCTGAGAGGATGGTTATTTTGTGTGTTGTTCCCGTCCGCAATGCATGAATCCTGAAGGAACTTTAAGTAGCTTTGAAAGGTGAACATTTTGTAGAAACTGGTTAACAAGTTTGGAATTTATTGGAACAGCCAAGTACTGCTTAAAAAACAGGCTTGTCTAGGGGATATAGAACTAAAATGGAGTGTGCAGAGCCTTGCCAATTGCAATCCTTCTTCAATTATAGCTGATCTTCTCCAAGGAGAAGAAAAAAAAGCAGGTTGAGGGGTACATTCTGGCTCGTGAGAGCTGGCTTCCTGGGGAAGGGTCACTGCATGCCCCTCTCCTTTGCTCTGTTGATAGCTAGGTGCTTGACAAAGTACAGTCTTGTTCTGAACTAATATAAAAACTTGTGTACTTCCAAGAGATGTCACTGCAGCTTGAGTTCTATTCTTGTTACTGGAAATGGTGTGTAGCACCTCTAGTCACAAGTACATTTTATTCACATCATAGGAACAGGCACCAGCTGAGTTTTCCTTCCTCTCTCCTTGCCATTGACTGGATTTTGACAAGACAAAGCTTTCTATGGAGCTGTGTGAAAATAAGAACTCACTGCAATCTAGAGTTTGAACTTGCCCCTTCTAAAACACACACCTGCTTGCTTCTCATGACAGTTTGCAGTATACACTTTGGCTCAGTCACTGCAGAATTGAGTTGGTGCAGGGGCAAGGAGGCATCAAAAATTGAGGTAGTCTTAGATTTCATTCTGTGCTCATATTCTGCTTTTCTCCAGGACCACTAAATAGGGGCTTATATATAGGAAGAAATTTATGTATTTATATTTATTTATAGGAAGAAAGCCCGAGGGAAACTGGTGCTTTTATAGGAAGGGCTGAAACATGGGCGTGGCAAACAGAGTTGGTTCTCTACCAACCACTAGCGTGTTCCTCACCTTCAGGGCAGAGATGACGAGTCTGTGCATTTGCTTTCCCTTTTCCTGGTTCTGTGCGTAGCACCAGATGGGCTGGGCTTTGGTTCTTGATTGATTGATTTCCATCAAGGTGCTGTTGAGAGAACCAGTTTTGTTCTCTCAGGCGTGAACAGCGTACACAAAGGCTTAAAAGATACCTGATATCTGCACACAAGAGCTGTGACTGGTTTGTGTTTAGCTCTGCTGGAGCCTGGCTGCTGAACTAACTCATTGCAATTGGGCTAATATAACAAACTTGCATTTTGGGGATCATATGCTGAAGACTGGAATAAAAATCCACAGCCTTCTTAGAGACACGGGGACGCCGTGTGGTGTTCAGAGTAAGCCAGGGTTGTATTCTGTAGGACTCAGGCTCTGTCATCCATCCCCCTATGAAATTCTTTTTAAGTGACTACACAGATGATCTGCTGAATGGAAAGAGACTTTTCTTGTCCCAGGCCTTTGGTGATTGTCTTCAAGTGTAAGCATTATCTAAAAGCAGGTGCAACTAACACATGAAGTAAAACCCCAGTTACTTAGCAAGTAAAACTTTTATTAAATAAATTTAAGATTTTTTTTTACCAGAATGAGGAATTTGACATTGACGAAGCTTGTATCGCACCTGTAACATTGTACAGTCACATCAGTAACTGTGATGGAAGAAACTGTAAATGCTTGTTTTAAACCAGCTTGACCTAGAATTTCCAAAGTCCTTTTTTTCCCATTTTGCATTTGTTGGTCTCTTTTTTTGTTTGTTTGGTTTTTTATGTTTTGTTTTGTTCAAAATTAGATTAAGTTTAAACTTCATGAAATTACTTGTAGCAGAAATAAAGTACATTATACAAATCACGTACATAATAGATGTTAAGTATAAAAATGGTATTTACAGTAAGTAAACATGGATTATAGAAACACACGGACTCACACAGCTTCACCCATCTCAAACTCTCAGCTTCAGATACAGAGGGGTGGTTGAGGAGATGAAGGTACTTAAAGAACTGTGCCACAAACATCTGAATAAAGGGAAACTGGAGGAGGATGAGAATTGGCTGAGGTTCAAGTCCCCATATCTCGCTTCAGTATCAATTGCATCAATCTTTCTCCACCAACCCTCTGTTCATGTTTGAACGCAGATACACACACACACAGACACACACACACACACACACACACACACAGGAATGTTCTTGGTACCTTATCAAACTGGAATATTGAAACTTATCATTCAGAAGGTTTGTAGGGTTGTTTTGTTTTGTTTTTCTTTCCTTTCCTTGTTTTGGTAGAAACTTAAAGAGACTGTTTCAAGTTGTTAAAGGGATATGCCTTGTCAGTATGACACACCCCCTTACCCCCAGGGGATATTTGTTAAATCAAGCTCTGAACTATGTTTTGTACTTAAGTGTATGTGTATATAACTGTATCTGTACACGCTGCACAATGTATAATCTGTCCCTTGGAGGGGGTGGTGGGAAAAAAACAGAATGGCAACCCTCTTTCATCACACTATCCTTGATGTCTGCTTGGGAAAGCTTTGCAGAGTGTAAGAAAGGGGTGAGTCCTCTTGTGAAATTCAGATGGAGAAAATGTCCCATTTCGTCTGGGAATCGGAACTGCCCACTAACCAGCATTACGTTACTTCCGATATGTGGAGGCAGTGTGTAGCCCCTGGGAGGCTTCTGTCACTCTGTTTTGGAGATAGCATCTGCTCACACTCTCTTATCTTCTCTTGCCTTGATCAAGAAAATGCTCCATTACCATTGAAAGCTACGAAATACAGATCTGTGCCACGTATGGGGAGGCAGTACAGCTCCTGTAGGTAAAGGGACTGGTTTCCTGTGCTTTCAGCCTAATTGAGTGCTCAGGCTATGCTTTGGCACCAAACTCCAGGAGCTCTGTCTGCAAAAGCCCTTGGGAAAGGTAAGACTGAGAGCTCTTGAGATCCTTAACCAGGCTGGTGCTAAGGTTGGTGGATGAGTGACTTGAGCTGAGCAGCTGGCTGTGCCCTAATCCTGGAGGTATGTAATTCTCTTTCTCCTTGCTTCTTGGTAATGTTGAGTAGAGAGATGCACACGCTGTCTCTCTTGCTCTGTCCATCCAAGCATCCTCTCAAAATGTTCAGGCCTATCTGCAGTGCTTGCTGAGAGGACACTGTTGCAAAGACAAACCCTTAACTTCCAATCCCTCTTGCAAGGAGTCAGTCTCTAAATGGAAAAGTTTGGTCCTGTGAGCCACTTTAAAGAAAAATAGAGACTGTATATATATATATATATATATATATTTTTTTTTTTTTTTTTTTTTTTATATTTATCTATGAAAGGGCCAGGAGACAGGGCAGGAGGGAGGGAGGGATGGAGCTTAGTTTCCATACATCACTGCAGTAACCTAGAGACACACCAGTGGGTTTTCTTGGTCCATGTCCTCCAGGCATACCCCGAGAGGAAGAGCTTCAGGTCCCCAGGGGCTGCTGGTGTTCTGGTCCCTTTGCTATGTACCACATTAGCAGCAAATATGTGAGTCCGTCGTGACAAGAATCTTCCTGCTGGGCAGATATTGAGCCTTCTCTTTAATTGCATGTTTTGGGAAGGAGGGCAGAAGGAGGATGGGGTGGGTAGGTGGGGAGCAGAGGAAGGAAAGGGGTGGTGTCAAAAGAGTTGATAAATTTACTGGCCTCTGTAAATCAACCTGAAGCAGAAATTCTTCCTCTGGACTTTCCCTTCACCTGAATAGAAAGGGAGGAGGGAGGGAATTGGGAGATTAGGAGGACATCTATGCAAACCTCAGGCTTTGAGTTGCTGTTGCTTAAACATGGAGGAAGATGACCCCAATAAGAAGGGACCAAGATAGGCCTTCCTTGCTCCCAGTCTGCGGCCAGTAGGAGCTAGCTCTTTGACAGCCAGCTCTCATGTCAGGTAGTTCTTCTGTGGCCCTTCAGGGCATCACCTTTTCTCTGCTTTTCTGTGATCCTTGTGAACCATGGGATTGTCCCTTCTTACCCTGGACAGCATTCTCTGCAGACTAATTTCAGGGCACATGTAACAATTGAAAACAAAACTATTGAGTTTTAAAAACCTTTCTAGGAAGACGAACGCTTTTTGGGAATGGCCAGAAAGTAGACTGAAACCTTGCTTAGACCACAGGCAGGTAATTTGAACCCATCTGCCTGTCAGGGCACTGAGTGTACAGATGGGCCTTAATGGCCTTGACCAGCCTCACATGTGGCTTCTGTCCACACTCCCTGCCCATGGGTCTAGGAGTCTCATTACATCTCAGGACTGTGCCTTCAGTCCTTGTCTGATCTACATTGTGAAAGTGTCAGTCTCCACCTGTCCATGGACTTGTCCTGTCCATGGATCTTATTATCTGGACTCGAACCCTTGGATTGTCTTCCCACCTTGATGTTGGATCTGTTTAGTCTTCTCATTATAGACCTGCCTGGCAATCACTGGACTATGTCTGACCCTGTTTACCTTTACCAGCCCCAATCCTGAGCTTGACCTGCAGATTGACTCTCTGGCTTGGCCTTGGGCCTGCCTCATTGCCACAAACTTGCCTGATGATCTACACTCTTGGTTGAACCTGTTCTTCATCTCCAGGCCTGCCTTGGTCACCTTGCTCTGGTGCTGGGGCTGGGCCCTGGCAAGCAAGGCCTCTGCCCTGTTAGCTGTGCTACTGCATTCATCTCCTGGCTTCCCACCCCGTAGGAGCAGCCAGACCTTGCTGCCTGCTGACACTGGCCAGCACTGTCTAGGAACGGTGCTGTGATGGTGCCAGCTTTACCTGTGCTGCAGAAGTGACTCCTGCTTGCTCGCTGCCATCAGTAGGGATGGTTAGCATCCTTGGGTCGTTTTAACTGGACCTTCAAACGTTTCGTGCCAATCTGGAAGCCATTCATGGCCTGGATAGCAGTCTGTGCACTGGATGGGTTGTCAAAGCTTACAAAACCTGAAGGACAGGACACAGGCATGGATAATAATGGCACTGTTGGTGCCATGCCCAATGCATGAGTGTCCTTGTTATCCATCATGCTTCCCTTGCCCACTGGTGTCAGCACTCACCAAAACACTTGCTCTGGTTGGTGGCACGATCCATGAATACCTTGGAGGAAATGATATTGCCAAAGGGCAGGAACATCTGCATCAACTCATTGTCTCCAAACTCCTGAGGGAGATGGTAGATGAAGAGATTGCAGCCTTCAGGACCTGCAGGCATGGGGGCAAAGGGGCGGGACAAAACAGAGAGCCCCCAAAGGGAAGGGGAAGAGAAAGGGGCTCAACTCAGAGCACAGCACTGGATGAGAACCCCAGTACTGCCTCCTTCTGTCTTGACCTCCCCTTGCTTGTCTCCCTCAGTCACTGGTCCAGGAAGGGTTCTGAGGGCTCTCTAAGAGCAGCTGGGAGGCAATATGCAGATTTAGAGTTTCTGGAGAGCAGATTCACTTTCACAGCTTGCTCAGTTCCCATGTGGGGTGCTGGACACAACAACTCTTGTGAGTGTCTGCATGGTGTTTTGCTGGAAGGAAATTAATTAGCTGAGGTGACAGCTCCTTGTTCATAGCTCTCCCAGTCCTAGGAGAGCAGCAGACACTGCTTTGTGAAAGCTGCTGCTCTAGCATTCCCTGCCCACAGCTGTGCAGTGGTTGCCTTCAGCCGATAAGCCACAGCCCCAACTGGCAATCTCCTGGATTGGCATACACAATTTATGGGCTAACGTGGTCCTGCCCACTCCTTCATTTGCTCCCTGTGAGCCTGATGAGCACAAGGAGCTGTTCCCTTGCTGACACCTGCTATACAAAGCAGAAGCAGACAGCAAATGCCTTTGCCTCCAAATCCTGTCCAGGCCAGTTTGGAAATAAGCTGAAAAACAAACTCATGAGGCTAGGAAGGCTAAAGAGAGAGGACAGTATGTTGGAGAGGCTGGTTTGACTAGTACCAGTGTGGTTCTGGCATCAGTAAAGATGGGGAGGAAGTCCTCTTTGCTGCTGCCTGTGTAGGGAAGGTGCTCACTCTATAACCCTCTGGTGTCAAAGCTTGGTGTTCTAGTGCTTGTTGTCCCCTTTTTACCTGGCAGCATCTGGCCAGGGATGAGATCAGAAAGTTTGCATGACAAGCATTCTCCAAACCCTTCCAATCCACTCACTGCAAAGACACGGCTGGTTCTGTAACCCAGCCCCAATATTAAAAATTAGAGTGGACAAAGATCAGTGCCGTCTCCTCTTCATTGGTTCTATGGTGCAGAAGACGAGCTACACATATTGCCCCCACCCCACTGCTGCCAGACACAGACATTCCCACCCTGATCCTCACCTTCTCGTTGCTGCTGCTGCAGGATGGGAGGTGGCTGAGCGATGCTCTGAGCAATGGGGGTGATGGCAGTTGGATACACAGCTGTACTCCAAGGAGACAGAACAAACTGTTTACCCGAGGATCTATCTGGTCAGCCACACAAGGGCCTGAGGGAGACAAGGGAAGCTGGTACCTGCATACTGCTGAACTCCTGTGAAGGCTGGGTGCAAAGTCTCTGCTACTGAAGGGCTCTGGGCTGCAGAGAAGAACATAATCAGAAGCACAGGAAAGGGAATCATGCATGTATTCTCACTGTCTCTCTTTCCCCACCCCCCACCCCCCTGCCAAGTGAGTCTCAGTGCCTGGCTGGTAGGGAGCTAGAAAAAGTGTTCTGCGTGGGAAATCCAGAAAAGAGAAGCTAACTGCAGTTTCTGAGGTCTCTGGATGGCTTTTTTTCCTGCCTTCCGTACCCGAGTATGGCACAAGGCCATTGGTGTAAACTGTTTCCAAGGTTGGATGCCCATTTGGGAATGGTACCACTCCAGTGAAGCCATTTGAAATGGGTGCCACCAGTCCCGGCATGCCTGCTGTTCCCAGGAGAGGCGGTGAATGTAGCCCTGTAGAGCAAGAAGAGATGACATCCCATGAGAGTCGAGGTCCTGCAAAACCTGCACTCCCTCCTTCCATCTGCCTGGTTAAGACTGCTGTGTGTGAAGCTATTATGTCTTCTAGTTGGCACGTGGAGGTGACAGACTAGTGCTGGAGCCTTCACAAAATTAGAGGCAGCACTAGTGAGAAGTGTGTGCAGCATTGCTAGCCCTGGCTGCTGCCAGAGCTTTGGGATGGAACATTTTTAATCCAGGTTTGTACAGCACCTAGCATCATACAGCCCTGTTCTTGACAGGTGTTGAAAGCCAATATGCATTATTGCCAATATTATTACTGTGGGATGAGGATAATGAATAGGACTGCTGTACTCAGAGTGAGGTGCAATCCTGGGAACCTGGTCCTTCTTTACTACACCAAAGGGAAAAACTGCAGCAGAGAGGAACAGCAGTAGGGCAAGAGAATGTGTGTTGAACACATGAGGGTGTCAGGGAGGTTGCAGAAATTTGCACAGAACTAGGGACTCCTGTCCTCGGAGGCTGCATTGTTAGAAAAGAGCAGCCTAATCCAGATGCTGAGCCCAGAGGGATGTGGGAACTGTTTTACCTGTATGAGCACCGTGCTGGGGCAGGAGGTTCATCGGTAGTGAAGGACTTGCTGCGTCCTGGCCCACACCAGGCCCTCACCTGATGTTGGTGCAATAGGAGTGGCTGGCAGCCCATTGAGACTGACGGCACCGATCTGTTGGATGTGGCAAGGGGAAAAGGCGACGCCTGGGCTCAGGTAGCTGCCGTGCGAGGTGGAGAGAACCGTTGTCTGCTGCTGCATCAGCTGCAAGGCAGGACCACACAGTCAGGGCCCCATGCTGCCCAGGGCTTTGCGCCACTTAGGGCCTCGCGCTGCCGGGGCTCTCGCTGCACTCGGGGCCACGTACGGCTCAGCGGCTCGCTCCGCTCGCCCCAGGCCCCGCGCTGCTGGGGCCCCCCCGCCATTAGGGCCCCACCGCAGCTGCGGGCGCCGGTCGGGGAGGCTGCGCAGGCCAGGTGGGCCTCGGCCTTCCCCCGCCGCTGCCTGTGGCCGGGGACGGGCCGGAGCTGCGGCCTCGCCACCTCCCGCAGCCGCCGCTGGGGGTCGCCGGGCTCCCGCTGCCTGCCCCGGAGCTTCCCGCGACTCGGCGGCACCTGCCGGGGGCGGGCTGCGGCGTCGCCGTCCTCTGAAGCCCCGCGCCCCGCCCGGCTGC